ACTCTTTCATTTCATCAGACAGAGGAAATTAGTTTTGATCCATTAATGTAAATCATGTAACTTAGCAGAGAGGTTAAACTTCGCTATTTAAAGAAGAAATCCGCAATTCTTTGTATCTGCTTAAAACCGTTTGTCATGAAGATCATAAATCCATCAGGAAACACACTGCCTGCTAAACTGTCTCTACTTCAGTGCCCAGAAGCGATGAAACCCTAAACCCTGTTGAGGTCTCTAGATGCAACTGGAATATTAAAAGTAATTGCTATTACTAATTTTAGCAGTTTATACTTACAGAAAACAAGTATCTCTAGTCATTTGGCACCTAGAGCTAAACTTTCATTATTTTGTGTTTTTCAAACAGTTACTAGGTAAATTGTCTTTTGCTGTTATTTTTTGTGCTTGCTGGTGTAATTGGCATGCTGCCTCAATAACAATATTATTATAGCATAGTTCTGTGTGTTTTTTTCCATATTTTAGGGAGCTTAATTGCTGAGTGAGGTAGATAGATGATCTTTCAGGAGAATCTGGATGAACATTACTCATACACAGTAAAATTGCCTCCCCCATCGGTTGCCACATTTTGAGAATACCATTTTAAATGTTGTTTGTTTTACATTAAAGATATCACTGTAGCAATGAAAACTCAATCTAACTAGAGATAATTCACATATTCAAAGTACATCACTACTCCATGTTCTCTTCTTTTTCTCCACTGAAATTTAATACTACACCCCCGGGAAAAAGACATGCATGTTAATTTTGCACAGGTAAACTGTACCTATATTTTGTGAGTTCCAGTTAAAGGAATACAATCACTCTCATTCTGTAACACACACACGTTTACTGAATGGGTATAATATGGTAATATGGAATTAATTTCCATTTGCTTTCAAATAATTTTTCTTATTTCACTTAAACTTAGCATGCTAGATTCAGCAAAGACATCTGGAGCATGGCCACTGGGTGGACCACGACCAATACTTTGGGAATTTCATAAACTAATTTGAAACTTCATTCATAAATCAATCTGTACCAGAAAACAGTACAGAATGAGCTCATCCGCGAGGAACTTGGATGTCAACATTTTATTTATTCACTTGATGTATTAAGGATGCCAATCCAAGTTCATACCAGCCCTGGCAAGTTTGCATCACTATCTTTGCCCTCCATCACGTACAAACACCAGATTAAATCTGTACCTTGAACCTGGAAAATAGACAGATGAACATCTATAATGCTGGCAAGAACATTGGGGTATTTTAAATCTAGAACGATACAGATCTTCAGGACCAATGTTCACGAACTTAAAAGGACCATCCTTTTATGGCTTGCTCCATGTGAGTGTGAGATCTGCACAACCTTCCTTGTGTTCAGAGCATTGGGGAGGATCATGCTGTTAAAGGATGACTCAATCGATCACAGTCTACAAAACACACAGAGAAGCTCTGTGACCAGTAAGCCATACAAAAACAAAGAGTCTGTGGCTAAAAGCTTATGCTAGCCAAGCATGATTTTGGAGAACACCTCTCTCAGGATAGAGGATGTACCCAAGACCAAAATCTTGATTCCCAAGGATGTGACGGATTTTCTACCACTTTAAGCGTCATTTAAAGATTCTCCTCTTTCTAGAAGTTACACTCTAATTCTGTCAAATGCTATATGCTTGATGCAGGAATACTGAACTGCAGGACCATGGCTTGAGTTGCATAGTTCAGACTACATGACCCCAACGTTACCTCCTGACAAAAGGAGTCTTATCAGCTCTATGCATACTTCATGCTCCAACCAGTAAATCAGTCCTTTAGCCTTACAATATCTGTGGCAGAGACCACATATTAACAACTCTGTAAATAAAATCAAAAGTGAAGTTTCATGCCAAATTTTCACATCCAACTACACATGAGTAATTCCTTAAATTCCAGTGGAATCACTCCAGATTTATTTCAGAGAGAGCAGTCCTCAGCCAATAGCCCTAAGCAAACACGTTCATGACCATGCTTTTTGATATTTCCATTGTTCTAGTTCTTCTCATAAGGACACCCCAAATCCTCCTTCCCCTCCTCCCAAACATACACTGTGACAAGCAGAAAAAAGAACCCATGGGGATGTCCCCAAATTTAATAGCTTGGCACCCAAATCATGATCTTTAATCTTCAGATTATGCTGACACCAGGGAGCCAGAGTGCTCTGGGAGCCAGGAGGAGGCATTGGGCCACAGACCCCAAGGGCACATAACCTCTGGTGGACATCCCAGCAGAGGGCATGGTCCCAGCCTGCTCCGCAGGACTCATGTGGCAGGGAAGCAGCTCAATCCGTAGCTCAGAACTGGAATGGGCATTAACAGCTTGTGACCGGCTCCTGACAAGTCGTAGGAGCTGCTCCCTTCTTCTCCTTCAATGTCCAACAGTTGCAACCAAAACTGTTGACTTTGCAAGCATTTAATATAAATTTCTCTACCATGCCACCTTCCACAACTAACTTTCACAATAGCAATATTGTCCACCAAGAGCACAGCAAGGAACTTTTTTTCTCTTTTATATTTAACTAACCCTTAGCCAACAAAGAATTGCGGAGACATGAACTCTGATCTGGTAGTTCGTATCTGCCATGATACGAACTTCTTTGAAAGGAAAATGCAAAATAACTGGCTGTATTGAACCAGTCTTTGAAAGTAAAACCATAGCATGAAAGATCTGAACTGGTGGTGTGTATTTGTTTTCTATTATTTCCCTGGATTTTTTCCGACCCTGGCTAAGCCTCATCATTGGGAACATCTCCTTACAAACCCAGCTGCTAGTCACGACTACTAATATGGTCCTTGAAGACTAGAAACAGCGTCTAACTACTTTTCCTCTGCTTCCAGTGGAGCTAATCTTGCAGGGCACCCAACCTCCTGCCAATTTTTTGCTGATCATTTTCACAATACCAAAGAGGTAATGAAGCATCATTTTAATCCAGGGTCGCGATCACTAGATAACTAATGTAATATTTAAGACTAATACTCACAGCTCCAACAGGTTTGGCATAACAAAATGGAAAAAAGATTTCATGCCTTTTTTAATAGGCACCATTACTTCTCCGCAGGGGTATCTGCTTTCTGCCTGACTCTTAGATGTACATTTTGGGGACAAATCAAACAAAAAAGCAAATATGTTTTGATTCATATCTCAGAATGCATTAATTTGCTTTATGGCCTTTCCCTTGCTATTCTAAATTTGTGTTCTCACTGTTTATCATAAAGTAGAGTTTTTAACTATGAGGCAACAAACAAAAGCAAGAGCACATAAGGCACGGACATTTATTACAGTAAGAACTAATTTGATTACTACACACTTCCAACTACTAATTAATATGAAGCAGCCTGAAAGGCAAGAGGCTCGCTCGTCACACAGCAGAACACACATTCTGCTGCCGAAAAGCACCAAATACAGAGTTTTCCCCTAAAACTTTACAACATATTTCTAGCTCCTTGGAAAAATTTCTTCAGACGAGGGGTTTGGGTTTGGGTTTTGGTTTGGGTTTTTTTTGTTGTTGTTTAAGAAGCTACTTAAAGGCTTCTTTAGTGGAATAATTACTATGGTGCCCACAAAAAGCATTAAAGAGGAACTGGGTTCAGAGAGAGATACAACTGGAACATTTTCATCACTCTGGTTTGGAAAGCGTTTCAATTATACCCAACCATTTATCTCAGTACAGGGGCTGAGAAGTATAAATATTTTAATAATAAAAAGGTGTTAAGTTATTTCAAAGGAAGAGTAAATCTTTAAAAAATTCCTCTGCATGGTATGGGTCAGTTTATTAAATTAGGTGAGCTAATTTAATAATTAGGTGAGCGCATGAGGAATATTAAACAGCACTGCAAATGCTCTCTCAAAGCGCATCCCAACCATCCACCTTGGGATGCTTGAGGAACAGGAGGAAGCTGGACCACCCTGCCGTGCCCTCTCTCCTCGCCTAGCTAACAACGTCCCCCATACTTGAGGCATGTTTTCACTCTGTTCAGAAGTTAAAATACCACAGAGCGATTGCAGTATTTTGTGGGATTTAAGTATGATGCCATCCACAATTTTTTAGAATTACACAAGCTCACATGTTTCCTGGGGAGGGGAAGGGATTCCAGGATATCATCTATTTCCTGCTTAACAAGATGCCAAAATATATGCATCAAGGGTTTTTATGCTGTTCATCAAGGATATTTGAAATACTTTGTATACTTTTAATGAAGCTTTCAGTCCAGTCCAGGTCTCAATGAGAGTGGTGAAATTACTGGATTTATTGTATTGTTCACAGCTATTCTGCCTTACATCAACCTTTCTTTTTTTTCCTTTTTCTTTTTTTCTTCCTTACTTCAGAAAGAGTCTAAGCTTTGCAGAAGATGGAAGGAACACTAACAATCTGATAATCTTAGTGGTTATTTACGTAGAAGAGCAGTAGCTGTTCAAGAGTTCCAAAACCTAACAGCTTTGTGAAAAGCTTTTTCCATTTTTTCCATAAATAGATAATTAAATCACATTTATTCTTGAAAACAAAACCAAACCCCAGTTCTTGATATGCTGCAGGATTTCTTCTGGGAAGATACTGAGGATCAAAAGCATACTTTATAGCTGCAGTGGCTCCTTCTCCCAATTCCACCAGTCTCCTACCTCTAGGCATCATCTAACAACGTGGACTTCTCTCCCTCTCACAAAGGGAGAGAAATTACACATATAGGCTCAATCTGTATGCATAGCTTTTGCTAGTGTTAAAAACACCCCACAAACTGGTATACATATCAGTGTGTGAAGGTGCACATGCATGCTCACTTGTGCATTTGTGCGTGTACTGTCAGTAAAGAGGAGGAGTATGAAAATGTGTATTACCATTTTCATTAATATTTCTAAATTAAGCTTCAACCAAGTAGACTTCTCTATATGGATCAATGCTATTGCTTTTATATACATTTCAATTCTTCAAGAAGCATACCTGTGAGATATAACCGGGAGGCACATGAATAGGGGGAATGGATCCATTGGGTGACATCATGGGAACCTCTGCTGGACCTAACAGAAAAGAGAAATAAGATATTAGTTCTTTCAGTTAAAAAAATTGCACAATTGCTCAGAAAAGGCTAAAAATAGCTTTATTTTTGAAGCCTGCAATAACAAAATGAGCAGCTCCACTAATTTCTGGTATATGGAAAATGCCTTGTGCCATCATTCTGAGAATAAGATCATTGTTCAATGACTTTACCATATATTCCATTAAAATAATATTTTCATCATAAAACAGCTAAAACATAGACTTTATATTACCCACTGATCAACTTATACAGCATTAAGCAGTAACACAATATGTCCTTTAGCAGCCCACAATTCCTATATTGAAATCTGGTTAAGTTATTCTTGTCAAAGACATGGGAGCAGAGAACAAAGCAGGAACTGTGCAGCCTGGAATTAGGCAGCTCCCAAGGAAAGCGTCCAATTGTAGCAAAAAAAACCCCACATATGTGAAAAACTATCTATCTATTTAAGAATGCACAAAGACCAAATTCATTATCTCAGCTATTCAGACTAACCTTGGAATGTGGTTATACAAGCAAGCAGCTTATGGTTTCCACTCCGAAATCCAGCCCTGAACATGCAAGGTCCATTTTGAGGCACTGAGTACAAGTATAACAAAGCAAGTGCCATAACCATTCAACTTTTGCAAACCCAGTCTCACAGCTAAAAGAAAGCATCTAGATAAAATGGAAATAGTTGGCTCAATTGCTCACTGATTCAGCCATTAAAATCGGAAACATCACACAGAGCAGTCAATAAAATGAACCCCCCAAACATCAGACAGATGTTTGCAATGAAGAGTTTACGACTTTGAAAAAGAAAAATTAATTTCATTACTTCCTTATTACATATTAAAACATTTGTACCAACCTGTTAGTTAGCCCATTTGCCATGGGCTAAGAAAATAGTCATGGTCAAACTCTGGAGAAAAGCTCAGAGAGAACTCTGCTCCTTGTTATTGCAAATTGAATTTTAGCTTTGACTAACAATACAAAAGATAACTTTATAACCTTCTCTGATGGAGAAGTCATCTAACATCTCCAAACCGTATCACATTCCAGGTAAGGAAGCTAAACACTAAAACATATGAAGGACTTCAAGCACAGATGGGATGTAATGGCCTTTAGGAGTAACTGCTCCTAAAGTTTAGACAAATCTAATGAAACCCCCAACAACAACGTTGAGCAACAGTCTGCTGTCTGATATCAGCAAAACCAGTCCGCCTTAAATTATCAAAAAGTCATTCCCTGTCCATCTACATTTTTATAGTCCTCAGGCTGCTTATCGTACAGTAAGCAGGACCTCCCAACCTCTCAAAATCCAAGTTACACACAGGAATCCCTCCAAGTTATTCATATCTACTCTGATGTTGGTTTGTTTTCTCTATCCGGTTATTTATAGTCTAATAAGCACATATGGTTTTTACTAGTCACATCTAGATTTGAAACGTGGTAATTTATCATCAAGTCTATTAAGCATATGGAAACTCCGAAGTTTAAACTAAAAGAAGTCATTTTAAGTGTGTGGTTCTGCTGCTCTTCATACTTCCCTATACTTAACTATGTAGGGAACTTTACGTATACTACAGCTCTAGTAAGAAAAAAAAGTCATTATTACTTCTCCTTCTTATTCAGCTCAGATGGGTTCCCCCCTGCACCTTATTCTATAGCCCTTTCAACATTATTTGCCTGCCCAGTTAGTCAACAATTTTAGTGTGAATGGAAAAAATATTCAGCATGAACAGTAAGCAATTATTGGGAGGGAGTTGCATCTAAATGGCTCTATTTAAACCCATCAAAAATATGAAGTGACAATAGGTTCAGAAGGAACTTTACAGAAAAACTGAGTAAATGTGTTTTCCCTATCAAAAAAATCTCTGCAAATTTCTTCTGAGGAATATGTTTTTTTATTTCTCTTTGAATCTACTTGGGTCTATATACACTGCCAAGTTTCACTCCACTTTACTGTCCAGTAAGTTGGACAGTATATCTATACATAACTGCCAATACCGGTAAACACACAATGATACTTTTTTGGGGATTCAATCCGCACTGGATTATCAAATGTTGTTCAGTTCTTCAGGATGGAACATGCCTGAGATTAGGCAAAATGAATAGTTAACATTGTTATGCGACTCATTCCTTGTCAGTGATTTCTCAAACCTGAAAAAAAGTCATTATAAAATCAAAAATCCTGAGCTCACCATTTAAGTAGACAATAATTTCAACGTTACACGTAAACGTTGATTAATAGAACAAAGCTTTAATGTTTAACCTGTTTCAGCCCCTCACCAAAATGCTATCTACTTAGACTGGCTAGGGCCAATATGACTGTATCTCAAAAATAGGTACTCTGACTTGGAAATAAATTTTAAAATGGAACAGTTTTGGAGTTTCTACATACAGACCAAGTAGTCTCTATACAACAAATGAGAAACACTTCGCTCGGCATGCCTCATATCTGTCCTTCTAAACCTTGTGCCAATTGCTCACATGGAGTAGCGATCTACTTGCAGGAAGAAATCAAACTCCCACACTGATACTGTTGACTGTAACACTTTCATTCCAATAAAAAAAAAAAAAATACTGTGTTTTATCATCAAAACGTGCACTGTGCAAGATGATTCTTAACCTTGTTTATGACCCACAAACTGTTAAAGTCATTTGGATAAAAGGTTTTAAAAGAATGACAGCCTAATGATTTGCAGCTAGATTTTGTTTCCAGCGCTTTGATTTCAAGGCTAGCCAAATTACTTTAGCATACATTATTTCATCTCTCTCATCAACGGTATCAAAACAACTTCAAGCAGCAGTAAAATACAGACCCCACCTCTACAGCACAATGAGTCCCAAGAATTATTAAAGACTACTCTTGCAGTGAAACCATTCCCCAATTAACACTAAAACAAAACCATACCTTTTGGGTGGAGGGTTTTGTTGGGTTTTTTTTTTTTAATCCTTTTTAGTTGTGAAATGTTTTTGAACTGTTAAAAAGTAGACATTTAGAGAAGGATGTTCCTCAGTTGCTTGTAACCACAGGATGGATAAAAGTAATGTGTCCTCTAGGGAATTAGAACCTTGCAAGTTTTAATTGAAGCTCATGGTTCAATACAAAATTTAATTTAAATGAGAAACAGTCAGTCCATTCTAACATGGATGCTGTATGCTGAAATGAGCTCGCTTTAATACTTTTCGAACCTGTTAACAGACCAAGGCTGTCTCCTGAGTTCATAATGATAACAGACCGAGGCTGTCTCCTGAGTTCATAATGAATCCAAGCCAGAAGAGCTTTGGCCACCTCTGCTGACAAAGCAAGAGGCCAAATTCCACCCCGAGCTCCAACACCGTAAATACAGAGCACCTCCATCAGCTTCTGGAGGACTGCCCCAGAATGCTGGGGCTGGCTCCATCCAAAATGCAGGTGCAGGGTAATGAATCCCCCTCCGCTGAAATAAGAGGAAAAGCAGAGGAGCCACCAGGCTGAAGGCACTGAAGTCCATCAGCCAGGCAGGTGACAAGCCACACTTGTCCCTAGCTGCAAGAGCACAAAGTTTTCATATTTCTAACACATGTTAATAATTAAGGGACAATAAAAGAAGCAACTCAGTTTCATATTGTGGCAGAGCTAGTTAACAGCTTGACACCCCAGTAAGAGTCTGTCCTCCTCTTCCAAGCCACATGGTCCCTCTTTTGTGCTGCTCTGGCACGCCTCTGATGGTGTGGAAGCTAATTATTTTAACCATTTTAGCTGACCAAAAAGGTTTTGCAAATCTATTGCCTTTTTAAAAAACACCTGCACACGTAGTCTAACAAAAATAACAACAATTATTCTACTCCTTCTTGTATCATGGTTTATTGTGTGAAGATGCAGATCAAAGCAAGTCTCCCATCTCTGTCTCCCACTTCCCCTGCCAAGAGGATGCTTCTGTCACAGAGAGATTGTCAGTTCTTCTAGACATTTTTATTCCTTCAGGAATGTCACAATCTACTTGAGAAACTTCTGTCCCAAGGTTTTCAAGGCTAATTATAGCCTCAGTTGCAATTCATGACACTTTCAAAATTCTTGTATAAAGCCAGTTTTGGAATAAGTATGCTTTCTTCTTGTTCCTGCGTGACCTTTTATGCATGCATTAAAGATTGCTTTAGTTTAATTAGGTTTTTTCCTTAAATTATAGAAGCCAAAATCTGGCATTTCAGTTCCTCCAGCTATAGCAATCCATCTTTCCTATTTCTCTCTTTCCACAGCATTATAGGGCAAAGTAGTATTTTTACTACACTATTTTCCTTTCCTTAGCGCTTATAGAGCATTGCTTTTCTCTCTTCATTACTAACTTATGTCCACTGTAGAATATTTTTCACATCCAGCTCCAGCACATAGGCATATGTTTTACTCCGTGTTTCTACCAACCGTTTTGTATAGCTTATTACTAAGAGCAAACCCTACCAGGCTTCGTTAAAAAGTTCCCATTCGGAGACCACTTACTGAAAACTCTTTGAAGTTCAGGAATTTCTCAGCCCTGTTTCCAGCTAACACGTACAGACTTACCATTTCACACCACAGTACCTACATTTGCAGAGAAACAATATGAAACGTAGTGATTTGGGCACTTTGCTTCGAAATTTAAGAATCCTGTACATTTTAATAACAAGAACCTACTGCACTAGCTAGGTAGAAAATTAAATCCAGCCAGGTAAACACATTATATTTTATAAAGCTTAACAGTTATAAGTAATCCATGAAAAAATATTATGCCTCCCTCTGATTCACAACAAAACTGGTATCACATCTTTCACATAGGGCACTTCTCAAGAAGTAAATCTATGGAGCAAGAGGTGTGACCGAATGAAAAGGAAAGACAATTAAAGGGCAAATTGGCCTGCTTTTCTAAAACTAGTAACCCAGGGCTTGCTGACCTTGGCTGGGACCCAAGGGTTTGCATTTTCACATGGATGAGCAGCTGTTCCGGAACAATTTCCTCAATGAAATAAGTCCAAACAGGC